CCCTCGGCCCCCACCAGCCCCACGGACCCCATGGATCGCTCAGGCCGCACGGACAGCACATAGACCAGTGGTGGTAGCTATCGCAACACTCCCGTGCCGTTTGTTTCTCCCCCTTTCTTTCCCTTTCTCACTTTTCCTCTCTTTCTCTGCTTTTCTCTTGCGTATTTGTTGTTGGCCAAATAAAGTGACTTGGCACTTGACACTGTTTTGAGTCTTAACTCTGTTCCCGAGAATGTAAAAGGAACCTAGTCACAATAAAACATTGGAGTTAATCAGAAGTTAAACCCAACTGCCCCCAACCTCCCAGAATTATCTGAGGTTGGTTGGAAAACAAGGGGGTTTAACCTCTGCCAAATTGTTCAACCCAACAGTGGATCGTGACACTTCTCCAATATTTCTCATGTTGATGAGAATATGTGACTTGTTGATGAGAATACATGATCTATATGACTTTTACCATAAGATAAAGCTGTACAAATACCAATAGCCACTTTGTTCCTCTCCTGGTTGGGAAGCGACCCCGAAGCAGGCGTACCAGGCTCCTTGCATGCTGGGACTGCATGTCTTTCAGCCGGGTGCAATCCAAAAGGGCTTCCATCACTGCTTGGTCAAATGGTCTATCATCTACAACAACCCTGTCAGTCTGGAAGCAAAGTCTGACTACGTGATGCCTTGGAAATTGCACTGTTACTGCTGGGTAGAGCAGGCTGAACAGCAGATGTCTAACACTCCAGGAGCTGTGCTGGAGGTTGCTTGGCATATTGAATGTATTAAATACTTCAGAGTATTTCTTCCTGTAGTGACAGGACAAGGGGCAATGGTTTTAAACTTAAAGAGGGTAGACTTAGATTGGATATGAGGAAGAAACTCTTTATGATGAGGGTGGTGAGGCACTGGAACAGGTTGCCCAGAGAAGTTGCGGATGCCCCATCCCTGGAAGTGTTCAAGGCCAGGTGGGATGGGGCTTTGAGCAACCTCATCTAGTGAAGCTTACCCTGAGAGCAGTGCGCGGCGTGGCTGGGAAGAAGTGCACAGCCCAAAGGAGCAGGCAGTGGGCTACCCTCACATCCATTGCCTCGTGTTTACTGCTTTCCTCCTGGAAGAAAGATGTTGAAAAGGTTTAGACCTCCCTGTTTTCACTTTTGAACACAGTTAGGTTGCTAGTAAGAGAGCAGCTAAACCCATCCCAAAGACTGTCCTTACTGGGCTTGCAAGGTGATTTTCAGACATTTATCGTTGCCCTGGTTTCAGCTGGGACAGAGTTAATCTTCTTCCTAATAGCTGGCATGGGGTGGTGGTGTGCTCCCTCCTCCCCTCTGACTCCCCCTCCCTCGACCTCTTTCAAGGGATAACCACCCGTGTCAGCCGCGATAGATGTGTCTGGTTGTGAAGGATGCACCCACTGGATGTGGGGAAGACAGATAGCTGAGGGCTATAGTGGAATGTGGCCACCTAAGCACAGTGGTCAGTATGCAAATATGTCTATGAGCCAATTATCTTACCCCCATCAATAGGGAGCAGCCCAGGAGCCCTTTGAGCTCTCCTGCACGGCATCGGGCTGCACGGCAGGATCTCCCCTTGAGCAGGGACGCCTCTCAAGGTTACTCCTTGAGGTTGAGAGATTCCTCACCACAACAGATTCTCAGTGATAGGCTAACAGCGTGCTAACACTGAAACCTTAGCCAAGTAACATAAAGGATCGATCGCGCATATATAATCCTTTAGACATACACCATTGACCAAGTCTGGGACTAGGACTGGATCCAGCCGCACCAGACTCCTCTCTGAGGAAGGAGTTTAGAAAGCAAGGGGGTCCTGTCTGAACCTCATGACCCAACTGGAGGGTCTCCCTGACAGCTTTGTCTGACCCTGCCCTCTGTACAGTAAGTAACCAAGTGTTCCTTGCCATTGAATCTTATAAGCCACTGTTGCATTTACCACTGAACTTTGGTAACTCACTGTTTTACACCAATAAACCACATTATTTTTGCCTCCCTCTCACTCCATCCACGACACACAGTGCTGTGTTTTGGATTTAGTACAAGAAGAATGTTGATAACTCACTAATGGTTTAGTTGTTGCTGAGCAGCGCTTAGACTGGCCAAGGACTTTTTCAGCTTTCCCTGCTCTGCCAGGGGCACAAGAAGCTGGGAGAGGGCACAGCCAGGACAGCTGACCCCAACTGGCCCCAGGGCTATTCCAGACCATAGGGCCTCATGCTCGGGGGGAGTTGGCTAGGGTTGGGAGAGTGATCGCTGCTCGGGACGGGCTGGGCATTGGTCAGTGTGTGGTGAGCAATTGCATTGAGAATCACTTGTTTTGTATATTCTATTATTACTTTTTTCCCCCCCTCTACTGTTTTAGTACACTGTCTTCATCTCCTAGGACAGCCTCATCTCCACTGGGTTCAATGCCGCTACTCTCTCTCCTCAGATGGTTCCTGATGAGAGCTGCCACGTGAGGTAGGAAACTTGGGTCTTCAGGGCTCGGATATCAAAATCTGACAAACAAGGACCAGGCTGAAGTAAAGTGGTATTTGCTGTGCAGTAGGATTCAGGCCTCTGCCCCTCCATGAAGTTTCCCATGGCCCTTGGTAAAAGCTTAATATCCTGGGATGCAGCTTGTTGTAGGCATATTTGCTGGAGGAAAATAATCCAGTAAAGGGAATGAAGGGAAAATTAATGCACTACGTTAAATCTGATTATTAGATGCCATACGCGTCCAAAGCAAAAGCAACAGCTGCTGTGGATTCAAAAGAAGTGAGACACTGATCTTCTATCGCTGGATGTGTAAGCAGATGAAGCCATGTACTAAAAAATCAAATAAAACCCCTAAAATGAATGCAAGGTGACAAAGCAGGACGATGCCTGTTTTTCAGAAGATGCACACAGGAAAGGACTCATCAAATCCCCATGCCTTGATACGAGCCACTTGGTTTTCCTCCTGATACGTAGGAATCAGCACAGACGATGCTGAAGCAGAAGGGGTCCTGCACTGATGGAGGAGAGGTGTGCTTTCCTATCCAGGAAACTCCAAGCTCTCACAGTCTGATGGCATCAAAGGGCCAGGCACACGTTCATCTGTGACGTTTGTTCACCTTACTGTATTTTTAGCTCCACAGGTTTATTACTTAATTATGAAAAGATCATAAAAGGAAGAGCTAGGTTCATGCACTGAATTTCTAAGCTAGCTCTAAAGGAGAACCTTGTGCCTCTTGAACTCAACCAATATTAGTAAAAGCAATTTCTGGGTTCAAGCTAGTAACTGTTAGTTCTTCTAAGGATATAAAATGGATAAAGAGAAGTGAACCAAAAGACTTGGATCAGTATTGCTGAAGAACGGGAGTGGCTGGGAAACACCTACAGGTTTGAGGCAAAGGATTGTACCGAAATCTTCTCCGATTTCTGCAGTCATGAAATGTTTATTGTGTGCTCATAGCCCTAATTCCATTTCACACCTGGGAATCCTTGCACTCATCACATTTGATCATTAATAAGTACATATTCACTTTGCATTTAACCACTGATGTAACTCCACCTAGGGCTGATACCTTTAGGTGAGGTGGAAATCTGGGACAGCTCCAGGTATGTAAGGCTCACTGAGATACTGGCCCACGTTCACCAGCGAAACACCAGTCTTGCTCAGCTGCATTGCTTGACTCATCATGGAAACCACCCAGTCTCACCACTGCAAGAACATGCTGAGATTCCTACTGTGCAGCAGCAGAAACTTGGAGCAAAACAAGCAATGCAGCAGCAAGTCGCTGTCACTCTAGGGAAAAAAACGACGGATATACTGACATATGCCCATGTGAAAGCATACACAGCTATTCCTCTCCCTCCAAAGCATCCCACTGTGGTACCTTAGATAGAGGATGATACATATCTAACCATAAACTATCTACTGCCATTAACAGGAACACACAGTGTGAATGCAGGGTATCAGACAGCGCTCTCCTGGTCCAAACTCAGACAACGCACTGTTTTTTGGAGAAGGTCCATAAAGATCAACTGAGCTGTTAACCCAAGACACTGCAATTAGAAACCTGACACTTTTTGAAAATCACCCCCTGGACGAAGAACATCTTTCCCCTCCATGCACCCATCCTTGCTGGGATTCACTCACATTTGAAGGGCAATGGCAGGAGCACTAGGCTGTTAACTGCGCCTCCTTTTTTAAGGAGCTGTAAGTAAACATGTTATTCCTCTCTTCCAGGGGTTTCTGCTCCGTCAGGGCACAGGCACACAAGCAGCAAAGTTGCCAAAACCCTCTCAGCTGGAAGGGACTTTCTAGTACGAGGACACTTCATACCCTCAGGTATTTCCCACCCAACTCAGGAGACTGTCGCCTGCTGCCAATCCTCCTCCTCCAGCTCGCTTCATTTGGTCACAGCACCCCAGGGGAGTCA